GGGACGACGTGCAAACATACCTTTTCAATGAGGACGCAGCTGCGTTCTGGGACGAATACCTTGATGAAAGCGGGGAGGAAATTGTGCACGTGGCACACCTTCTCCGTGTACACCCCATGAATACCGCGCGCATTGTCGTAGTACCGCTCGCGCTTGACGACTTCGACGGCCTTCTTTCCCTTTGTACGCTTGTTTTCCTCCTCTGTCGCGCGCGAGATCATGTACAGCATGCCCACGCGGTACTCTTCCAGCGTCGCCGGGAACGGGATTCGGTACTCCTTGATCAGCATTGCGGGCGCGGCTGTGGGCGGAGGTGGGGGGGACAACCGCGGCTTCGGGCGCGCTTGGCGAGCGCTGCGGGCGGACGGGGTGGCGCAGCGGGGAGCAGGTGGGACTACGCATGCAGTGACGGCGAGGCGGAGGCGAGGCGGACTACGCATGCAGTGACGGCGAGGCGGAGGCGCACAATCCCCAAGGCGAAGGCGGATAGAGAAATGCAGGCACGCCCATTGGGCCGTGGCGAGCGCGGCGTGCATTCCGTCCAATCAGCGAAGCGCTTGCGCCGTGCGATGCTCGAGTGCGGAGAGACCAATGCGATTACGGTAGCGGTGCCCTGCATGGCGCGCCTGGCAAGGGGGGGGGGGGCGGGGGGAGGGCATGGTTGGGATGGCGGCGAGTGAGTTTATTGGGGCGCGGGCACGCGCGGCAGCGAAGTTAGGGCGGGCGTCGTCATACGGGGGCGTAGGCCGCGGGCGCGGGGCGGAGCTTTGCGCGCACAGCGGCGCCAACGAAGACGGCGGCGGAGAGCACGGACAGCAGGGTGAAGATGGAGGCGGTGCGGAAGCAGGCGGAGGCGGCCTCGTCAAAGTCGCCGTGGAAGCCCAGGAACGGGTTGTGCGCGCGCAAGGCAAGGCCGAACGCAAGCATGGTGACGGCGCCCTGCGAGGGGTTAGCGGCGGCGAGCGGGCGGGGACGAACGGAGGGACGGAGGGCGTACGTACCGCGGCGGTCGTTGCGAAGCAGCACAGGGATTGAGACATGGTGCGGGAGGGAGGGCGCGGTGCGGGAGGGAGGGCGGGCAGGGTGAGGGTCGGGGGAGAGGGTGGGGGTGGCAATAGGCGCGTGTTGCGGGAGAGGGTAACGTGCATGATGACACGGCGGGAGTAGGGCTGACAGTCACTAACGAGAGCATTACAGTGGCACTTGGCAGACGGCGACTGGCAGACGTTGAAGACTTTGGTTTGGCGTGATACGGTCGGGACACCGGCCGTTTCATCCCTCCACACATCCTCCACCAGCATCGTCTGAATCTTAGCTGAGGCCTCTTTTCAACATGTTTTTGCTGGTCATATGCTTGCTCGTGCTGTACGAAGAGCTACATAGATACCGGCCTCACCCGACCTGACTTCCGCATTGCGCCATGTCGCATCCCAGTGACAGCGCCCTGTCTTTTCCAGTCACGTTTTGTTTTTATAAACCTTCAGTCTTTGCTCCATTGATATTTTCGAAACCAATAGCCCAGTATAAAAACCCATCCAGCAGCTTAAACCTTCAGTGTTTCATTAAATCTTTCTTATGCAACATCTTGTTGATGAGCACATATACATGCTGTACGTTAATGAAAGGGTGTCTAAATTGCTAACCTAAATAATCCAATTAACTTCTATGCTTTTCGTGAATCTAAAGCATTTTCTGCAGACAATCCTGACTTGGCGACATAACATTGTATATGCTGACAGTACTTTACAGTTGCCGTGTTTCGTGTGCCAGCGTGCGGGCATGCTTCGAGTCCGAGGGTTCGAGTGGAGGGGCCATCGTCATCACTTTGCGCTTTGCGCACTCTCCTACATCAAGTCTTCGACATCCGACCGCCATCGCCCGCACCACGCGCCTTCGCAGCCGCCGGCACCAGATTGCCGCACGGCACTTTCGCGTCATCGACATCCGCGAGCGACCGGGCGTGCGACGCGGGCGGGCCCGCCATGTCAGCGTGCACGGTCTTTGCGCGCGGCAAGCAGCTGGCGCGCGCGATGCAGCGCGCGCCGGCGCGCCGCTGGTCGTTCCTGCCGAACGCGGACGAGCGCCGCTTGTGGCGTCTGGCCGAGGAGGCCAACGCGCGCGGGCACGACCCCGAGATACAGGCCGCATACCTGCGCGCGCTGGGGCGGGTCCGCCCGGCAGAGGTCGTCGCCAGGGTAGAGGCGGGGAAATACGCCACGGGGGAGAACGTTGCGAAGGAGTACGTCAAGGCGCTCGTCGCGACGGGGGCGCTAGACCGCGTCAAGTTGCCGCAACTGCTTGATACGATGGGGAAGGCCGCTAAGGGGGGGGAGGGCGTTACACGGTTTGGGGGAGGGGGGCACGCGGGCGGGGGGAGTGGTGGCGGCACAGGGGGAGGCTTTTGGGGGGCTGCCGCGTCGCCGCTGCAGGGGGCCGGGGGGGCCGCGGCGGTGGGGGGTGCCGCGGCTCTTAAGAGTGCCAGCGGTGGCGGCGTGGCTGATCCCATTCATGTCGCGCTTGCGGAGCCGTCGACGCAGTCGCAGATCTGGCGCGCTGTGCGTGTGCTGGGGACCACGTTTCTGGTCCTCGGTTTTCTCGGCGTGATTATTGAGGAGAGGGGGATGGCGAGGGGGATGGGTATCAGCACCGAAATGTTGCCGGAGCCGGAGCTTGCGGATCCCACCACGTTTGACGACGTCAAGGGCTGCGACGAAGCCAAGGCGGAGCTGGAGGAGATCGTCCAGTTCTTGAGGAACCCCGCGAGCTTCACACGGCTCGGCGGCAAGCTGCCGAAAGGCGTCTTGCTGATGGGGCCCCCTGGTACCGGAAAGACCCTGCTGGCGAGGGCCATTGCTGGAGAGGCACAGCGCCCGTTCTTCTATGCGTCGGGCAGCGAGTTTGAGGAGATGTTTGTCGGCGTGGGCGCCAAGAGAGTCAGAGAGCTGTTTGCTGCCGCCAAACAGAGCGCTCCATGTATCATTTTTATCGATGAGATTGATGCCATCGGGGGGAAGCGCAATCCCAAGGACCAGCGCTTTCTCACTATGACTCTGAATCAGTTTCTGGTCGAGTTGGATGGCTTTCAGTCCAGTGAGGGCATCATCGTCATCGGCGCGACCAACTTTCCAGAGAGCTTGGACAAGGCCCTTGTGCGCCCGGGAAGGTTTGACAGGCATGTTGTCGTGCCCAACCCAGACATTCGGGGAAGGACCCAGATTTTGCAATGTCATACCAAGAGGATTCCGCTCGATGATGACGTCAATTTGGAGCTAATTGCGAGAGGCACGCCTGGTTTCTCGGGCGCCGAACTGGCCAATCTTGTCAACATGGCAGCCTTGAAGGCTGCGATCGAAGACTTTGTGGCCGTCCACATGAGCCATCTTGAGTACGCCAAGGATAAGATCCTCATGGGTGCAGAGAGGAAGTCGGCCGTGCTCAGCGATGAGACCAGGGAAACTACTGCGTATCATGAGGGTGGCCACGCTCTTTGTTGTCTGTACACAAAGGAGGCCTTCCCCGTGCATAAAGCGACTATCATGCCGAGAGGGCAGGCTCTCGGCATGGTTTCCCAACTCCCGTCAAAGGATATGACGTCGATGTCAAAAGCGCAAATGCTGGCCAAGCTAGATGTATGCATGGGCGGTCGAGCGGCGGAAGAATTGATCTACGGGAGAGATTACGTCACGTCGGGGGCGTCGTCTGATTTCCAGCAGGCGACGGATCTTGCAGAAGCTATGGTCACGCAATATGGAATGTCTGAAAAACTCGGGCAAGTCATCTACGACAAGCAGACCGAATCCACAGAAACGCGTGCACTCATCGAGACCGAAGTACGCGCGCTGCTAGACGGATCGTATGAGCGTGCCATGCGGGTGTTGAAAATGCATGAAGCTGAACTGCACCGTCTTGCCAAGGCACTCCTCGTTCACGAAAGTCTAACTGGTGAGCAAGTGCGGCTCGCTGTCAAGGGTGAACTTCCCCCTCCGGTGCTTACCGAAAACGTCCAGGGTAAAGCAGTCCAGGGGAATGCAGCCGCAGGCAAGACCCCCCCTACGGATGAGAAGGGGTCGGTTCTTGGTGCACCAAACGTCACGAGAGATGCGGACTCGTAGATTTGATGATGGGCGCGAAGCTCTTTGTACAAAAGTCTTGCCGAGAAGACACCGGCCTGGGGGGATATGTCGACTTGTCGGGAGATGCAGATGTTAAAGACGAAATGAGGATGCGAGGTTTCACCACTCTTGTTTTTTGCGAGAGGTTATGTACTCACAATGCAGCTCGAAAATCGTGACTGCGACACGCTAACGGCCGCGCGCACCCATATTGCTCAGCCTGTTGCTTTCTGCAAAATGCCTTGGCTCTTCGAATCGCAGTGCCCCTTCGTATGCAGCAGTGCTCATTTTGCAAGATATCTACTGGATCTTCTGCTATCCGTGCACTGTGGTTGCACGGATAGGCCCTATTTTTAGTACGACGACTGAGTATGCGAACCAAGATGACACGCGAAATGGGTACAGAGGAATCATATTGTGAGTACGGTAGTTTTCAATCTACGCTGAAGAGCGTGGATCGATGCGGTCGGTAGTCATCGTCCCGGGCGGGGGTCGAGTTTGATGGGGGGGATACCATGGAATTGAATTACCACGCTCACATGTGAGCGATTTTTATTGTAGTGTGAATTGATGACGCTCAAGATGAACGGTTCTTGTGTACCCGTTGACCGCAAGTCCCAAACTGTTTGGGTTGTAAATACGTATTCAGCTCGATTGACACGTCTCACATGATTAGGTCATGCTTCAGAGCATCACTCGTATATGTCGCTATTTCTATTAGTAAAGTGCGTCAACAAACGGTACGCAACAGCAGATTGGATGATTTCGATGAGTTGTTTTTATTTCAAGCGACGTAGGGTTGATATACTCAACAACAGAATCTATCGCACCTTGTAGCCGCAAGCGGGCTATTTATCTCTTTGTCATGAAAATTGTAGCATGTGATGTTTGCGAATCGTGGCAAGGGACGGGCCGCGGTTCTTTTCTTTACCACATGCTCTTTCCATATCCTTATTTCAAACCCGCTGAAGATGCCCCTGGTCGGGAGCGCGCGCTTCAAGTTCTCCTCTTCGAACTCAGAGCTGTATTCGCTTGAAGGGCATGAGACGACATAAACGACGATTGCTGCCCTCTCGAATGGCTTGCTTTTCAAAGAAGCCATAGAAGAGCAAGCAACACGATTTTCACTGCGGCGACACCATGTGCTCATAGCTGGATGGAGATCTAATTTCTCCAGCCCCCCTCAAAAATTTATGTCAACAGGGCATACACCGACGGTGAACAGTTGACGTCAAACGTACCATCGCACTTCCTCTTCCCGTGTACCCTACTCCACACTCGTCCCCCATTCCACTCCCACTCGCACTCCTGCGCCATGCACCGCCTCCGCCCGCTGCACCGTGCGCTGCACCGTACACTATCGCAGGCCCCTCACCGTCAAAGCCCGCGGTGGCCCCCTACCCCTCCCTGGAACCAGCGTCAAACGCATCAACCACGCACCGCTGCCACGCCACCCCCTCCCCCCGGCACGCCCGCCCAGCGTCTGCAACTATCCTACCACGACCTGGAACGCGCGCTAGAGCGTCGCGGGCTCAACACCGTGCGCGTGCTGCTACTGTCCTCGCTCGCCGCGGCGGCAGGTTTCGGCCTGGCGTGGCCGCGTATCAAGCGGTGGGGCGCCGTCGAGGGCGCCGAGGTCGCCGCCGCCTCACTAGAGACGGAGCGTCTTCAACAGCGCGCTCTCGGAATGGTTCGCGAGGTGCTCACGGACGAGCGCACGGGGCGGCAGGTCGAGCGCGTTATCAAGGAGGCAGCGGTAGGGGTGTTGCGCGATAACGAGTTTAAGGCCAGCGCCGTGGAATGGTGTGCGGCCGTGCTGGCGGAGGCGCTTAGGTGGGAGGAGGTCCGAGACGAGGGGGAGAGGTATTTGGGAGCTGTGGTAGAGGGGGGGAGGGAGCGTGTCGAAGAAGTGCTCGCGGAGGTGGTTGCTAACGTGGCCAGAGATGAAAACGTGCAGGATAAGGTTGCAAAGGTATGTTTGGGAAGGAGTTTTGCCAGTGGAAGGGGATGCGTGGTAGTTAACTAACTGTCACGTTTTTTCTTTTTTGCTTTGAGCTGTGCAGGGATTGTGGTCGAGTCTTAGGGCGAGCGTTATTGGAAGGCGCAGACCGCAAGTGGAAGCAGGGGAGGCCGATGGAGCAATGCAGGATGGAGTAGGGAAGGGCCCTTTATCCGAGAAAGAAGGAGTTATCGCGCCTTCGACTGTGGATGATGCGATGGGGAGTGTAGCGGGTGATGGCAGTGATCGTGATCTGGGATGACGCCCGCATGGGATGAAGGGTGATGCCCGAGAAACTGTTTGTGGAAGGGTGAGGCTTAGTCAGTTGAGAAAGCCGTTGCAAATGGTGAGACGTCTTCCTCGTTTGCGGACCGCGCTTGTCGAAGGGAAGGTGCGACTGGAGTTGATAGTGTCATACGTGCGTCTTGAGCGCAAGGTGAACGCGTGATGCTTGGTTCTTCGTTTTCAATTTCCGCCTCTGCTTGAAGATTCTACAACCGAGCACGGGACTCATCCTACGTGGCATCTATGCCGGTCATTGCAACGGTGCAGGAACATGACCCTCTCGTTTTTCTTACTTTGACAAGTGCAAGGACCAAGGCGTTGCATGTGAATGCTCGAAACGGTGGGGGGGGGGGGGGGGGGGGGGGGGGGGCGGAGCTCTTCCTGATGTCTGCTGTTTTTGATCTGCGGAATAGCTCTCGTGCCGCAACGAGCGTGTGAGTCAGCGCTACATGTACGGCATAGGATTGGGAGCTTTGATATTTTGATGAGTAAATCATACTAACAGATTTGTTCATCAGTACCTCGTTTCGTTGAGGCGTGCTATGCTGGTGTAGTTTTGAACGTTCCCATCTGAAGGGGGATGCTACCGTGGGTGATGCTGCAGAGGAGAAGTAAGAGACTCTTGCAGCACTCGTGTCCTTCGCGAGAGCTCGCAAGACCGCATCCATCGCATGTTCGCTTGACGGAGGATGAACCCAAGCCCAATGGTCTCATGATCAGGTAGCCATTAAACATGAGACTTAGCACCGACGAAGTGCAGTTGTGCAACGTCGCAGCTCTTCACATATGTTCTTATTAGGCATTGCGAGACAACTGTCTCAGAATAGTGCAAACTATCCTGCACGGGTGGCATATGCGCAAAATGGACGCTCGGCATATTAGAATAGCCTGCTCCGTCCGGATTGTGCAACCACAGGAGCTGTACCTTTGCAAAATCGCTAAGAATACGTTTTCCTGTGTCACATCCCATTGGACGATTCGTGGACTTGTGTTCTGCAATGTAGTTTCAGTGTTTCTTCGTATGAATGTTACCCAGGTGAAGTAATACGGTAGGGAGGTGAAGCACCATCGCGGGGCTGTAGAACCATATTTACAAACCAGATTTGTATTGGGTGTGGGGGTGTGTAGAAAAAATTACATCTGGGCGGTGGGCCTCTAAGTGGTGAGAAGAAGGACAAACATCCCCCCCTACAAAGAAACGAGGCGAGCTATCAGACCAAGAAGCTTCGGCTGAAGTGCCTCCCTGTGATGACAAGACCTAAGTAGCCCCATAGAACATGTACTGTAGATGAGAGCCGGTTTTCTCGCTCTGATCATTCAGGCGAAGCTTCGTTCGTTGGGACCCATCTCCTATTCATTTAGAAACTTTACACATAAACAGAAGAATCTTATCTGCCATCTCGACTTCAATACTACCATGGTACTAAGGAAACGACGCTGTCATCCCGACAAATTTGACAAACATTATATTTTGTCAGCTTCCAGTCCATCTTCATTCATGGGACGTTATTTGTGCAGTATGGGTACATAGAATCATGCAGTCTAGTGTGTGGACTATATCAGTCTACCCTCAAGGTAGCTCTTCTGTACATACGCACTACGCACTGTCAACTGATAGATTCGAGGGCTGGACGATCGCCAATTGCGTGCGATACCCACAAAGAAGATTTATCAAAGGTTGGTTTATGGCGCAATACGGATAGACTTCATATGAAATCTTTGTTTCTGCATAATAGAATATCAAACGAGTCGTCATATTTGATGTGTGACACTGTACTACGCTGGCTCAGCAACTCGCCTTTCTTCTTGTCATTTCATATGACCGACTACAAGAGTTTACAAATTCTCTCAAGTGTCAGAACAGCAATTTTCAAGACGGTTGTTCTCGTTCTCCTGTCACTCTCGACACTAGCAACAATTCTTGCACGTGATTCCTAATTTACACATTTTTTTGTCGATATCTTCGAGACTTGGTATTTTGCCGTTCTCGCCAAACCGCAACCTTTAATTTCAGCGGCGCATGTTTTCCGAAGCTTCATGAAGCCTAATCTCAGGCCACCCTCGAAAGAAACAGCAAGGCTGTCAAAAACAATATATAGTATCAAAGCAGCTGAATTTAGAACATGCGTTTTCAACATCCTATGTTAAAAACGGTACAATTAGACCTCTCATGCATATTGTCGATTGAATATCTACTAGGTATGCAGGTCCAGTGTGCACTTTTGCGAGACAAGGGCTTGGTCGTAGCTCGGTATGATGGTTTTGACCTACGCACGTACGAGCTACAGTGCAAGGGTATTGTACGAGAGGAAACCTGCAGTATGGATGTATGCCCTGTGCGGCATCTCGCTCTTCACAGATATGGTGTATTTATTTTCTCCAAGATGAACTCTTTCGAACGAGTGTGCACTGCACAGCGTACTTGTTCTTGCACATGGCCACGGCCTATTTCAGTCCTGTGCTGCAGAAATACGGGAGGGAAAGCACTAGATAAAGTATTGAAAAAGTGTAGTTCATTAGAAATGCCCCCTCAAGTGAGGAGTTTCTTTAAAAATGTTGGTTTCGAAGAGTCAAGCCAGGTAGCGGCTCCTCTCTAGTCTAATTGAAATTGACCAGAATCCCGAGATCTTCCCACTCCTAATAGCCCATCCTCGTATGGCAACACATACGGAAGTCTAGCCTGTGCATTAAAAAAAAAGTGCGGTTGAGCGGCGGCATTTCTACTCTATGGACAAGATCTTTGTCGTTACAGATGCCATCTATTTTCAGCACATGACGAAGCACGGCTTCAGGGTGTTAGAAGAGCGTTCAAGGCGGTCGCGAATAGAGATTGCTGCGACCAGAGAGCTCACCGCTTACAAGATTTGTGTAAGAGAATTGGTGGGGCTTTCCGGTCAAGAGCCCACTACAGAAGGCGTGATAGCGCAAAATTGGCCAACTCCCTTGGTGGAAGACATAACATTACTACGGGATGTGGTTCTGAGGGCTCGGCTGCACGGGAGAGAAGCGTACAGTAGACGTCCACGAAAGCTACTCCTTGGAGAACTAGGTTTTTAGGCGTCATTCGAAAACATGGACTTCATCCATGCTCTGCTGTGTTGATTGTGCGGGATTCAGGGTTAAAAAAGTGAATTCAAAAACTCGTCCAGCACAGGGAATGCACGAGCCCTACCCAATCATTAATTTTAAGGACCGCAAGAGGATGGCAACAAAGAGGGTGGGCTACACCTGTACGGTAGATGTATTTAGAAGCTACCTGTACATGTCACGTGCACCACCTCAGAAGCCCATCTCGCCATACAGCTGGCCCCGCTCCCATGATGGGAGCGGGGCCAGTTGTATGGCGAGAGGTATGACGGATGAGAGCGTTTTGAAGGGATTCGGGGCCGGAATCAAGTGGTACAGTATGAGCGCGAGATGGATGCTTGTCTGGGCCTTGAATGTGTACACACTTTGCAATTGGGTGTTGGATAGAGGGCATGAAAATAGGTACAGTACAGACTCTGTACTACAGAGTGCAGTTTGGTCATGATAATTAGATTTTCTCGAGACGGTCTCTCCTACCCTTCCTGGTATTTGTAAACTTGGTGAGAGTCTCAGGGTTTTCATCAACGCTTTGTGTCATGCACGGGGTGCGCAATGAATAATCTATGGAAATATTTGACCGGCACGAAACACGTAAAAGGTGCCAAACACGGCAGAAAGCTGGCAGGGTCCGGGTCATTCGTAGTTTGCACCCATACGTCCGTCCAACAACTGCCTTCAACCTTCCCATCTGTCTGTCTCGTTTGTGAATCATTATGTCCGCCGTCCAATGACAGCGTGCGAACTCGATTCCCACTGTCCCCACTTTTTCCTTCCCCCTGCCTTCAAATGCATATCCGCAGGGGTCAAGAGTACTGCCTTTTTGCGGCCGTTATGTACCCGCCAGACAGTATCTTTTGTAGACTATGCGAGGTATCCGCAGAATCGTCTGCTTCTTGGCAAGGCCAACACCCAAAACGACTTTTGTACGAACACGTCTCCCAATATCTACTGCTTCGACCTACAGCCTGCATCCGCTGCTTCGACGGAGCGGATAATATTTTTGGCAAGCGATCCAGGTCAGCGACGCCGCGTGACGATTGTGTGTACTGTACAGTAGGACGGCACTATTGAGGAGGTACTTCGCCTCGCATTTGTACCGGGTTACCCACTAAATAAATATATTTCCCCTTCTCTTCACCTGCCGCCGACCAAATAGCTCTACCATACAATACAGGGTGAGGGGAGCAAGTGGACGGCGCAGATGGTGGGAGAGACAATGGGCAACTGCGCGACCAGACAGGGAATATGTCCCGCCTTGTCCAAGAAAAGATGCTTTGCTTTCATGTAAGCTACCACGTGCAGAATTTGAGAATGTGAGAATGTGAGAAATACCTTCTACCTCTACGGGCGTACTACTGTAGGTTCCAACATCTTCAGAAACCTAGCCTTTTTGCTCCGGCGACGTTTTTGTGCTGGTGGAAATGAAGAAACGAAGGGCGATATCCACGAGCCCAGATGTCCTTTGCTCTTCAGACCCTTCTATCAATTGTCTTTTTCGATCAAGAAAGGTGTCGTCGAGCACTGTAGCCGGCAAATTCATGGGCACTCACCTCGCCGAGGCCTACTGAAAGCCGAGTCTACGGATTACACTATATCCGCTGCAAAGGGGTTCGTACCTCCTTTTTTTTTTTTTTTTGCATTTCTCTTCCTATGGATCTGCTGTACAGTACAGGGCACCATGTCATGCCAGGCCCCCGGATTTGATACGGCGCATGGGCATTCTGTTCTGTACTGCGCTCATGGAAGTGGGTGTGTTTCTTAGCCTTAGCCTGAGTTTCGCAAAAAGTGCTTCATCATCCGTTGGAGGGCCCTTCAGTTACTGTAGGAAGGTACTTGGGGCTTTTGATATTCATGTTAAGGCCCTGTATTCATCCGACCTGTTCTCTCGCCAAGTCTAGGAAGCTCCGGCTTTTTGTACTTGTGTGCGCCCGGGTTCTCTAGCTCTGTAAAGGCCTTGATTATATAAGTCGACTGCATCTACAGCGCGCTACCGGTTCGACATGGTACAGTACGTAAGGACGAAAGGCAATGTATAGAATATAGATTGGGGCATATTCGTTTTGCTTCAACCACGAAAAAGCAAAGTGATGGATGCAACACAACCTAAAAGGATAGAGCGATATATCACTTGGGAGTTTTTTGTTTGGGATGCGCACGTCCCCCAGCGCTTGGCCCGAATGGTTGCAAAAACGCGCATGAGCTCGCCGCATACGTCGGCAATTGTGATGCTTGACGGCGGGGAATCAGTCCGCTTCCTGGATGTGTACAATGTTTTGCTTCTGTTTTTAACAGCAGAGCGGAACACGTTTGGCCAATCTGACGCACAAACGAAAGCACGAATATATAATTTCTGTCAACTGATGCGGTATTTTGCGCGCCACACATTCGTTGTCGTCGGTGGTGGCGGCGC